TTAATCCTTAATGAACTTGAACCTTAATGAAATATGTATATACATTATATATCAAATCAATATATAAGATTTCGTAATATACGCCGAAAAACTGTCATGTTGATTTTAATGACAAATATTTGAAAAATCGAAATACAGGATTTACGTCGAAAAACTGTTGTATTGATTTTAATGACACGAGTAGTATTTGAGAAATAATATGAATGATATCGGAGTTTCCGCTCACAAGTTCCTTCATCGTCGATGTATTTCATAGATTCGATCGATAGAAATATGATAGGAAGCCAATTCTATGTGACGCAAATCCATGTCGGTTGTCATACGAGGCTTCCGTGAGTTGTCGCTGCCCGTCGGATTAATTGCGGGCCTTCCGACTGTTATTCCTAGCCTTGCTGTTTTTTATTCTCGACCGGATCCTTGTCTTATAAAGTAGCACTAGTACGGTCAGTAGCGAATGTCATACTGCACACTAGACTGAATTTATAAATTTTGTGACATTTTCCTATGAGCATTTCTATTTGATTTGTATCGGTACCTAAACACCCATAAAAAATTAATAAAACTCAATGATCATTCTAACTCTAGTAAATACTTAAACATGTTTACTACATACTTTTCGTCTTCATTCGTTTTAAGTTGAACCGATGTAAAAGTATAAATGCATTTTTTGAGTTATTTAGCATTTTTTCAACATTTATCTCGTCAAAGAATTAACATTGTCAGATAAAAGAATGATTGTTCGTAACGTGCTTATCAAAGAAGGCAATGCTCGATGAGATGAAGAAAATAGTAGAAATTTGTTGCACTTAGATAAGAATTGTCTCTTAAATTACAAATGTTACTGTAGTTTTAGAAACTGGAGTATTTCCAATACTTTTTGTCTCTATGTAATTGTGCAAGAATAATTTTCTGCCTCGCGACATAAATTATTACTGTCAGCAGCTATTAGCAATATATCGTACAATCGTGCTGAATTATAATGTCCGTTTTCCTAAGTGTTTACTGTCCGCAGTCATCTTCGACGTTTCTTGGAACTGCATCCTCGGAATGGAGTTCGCGTTATCTCAGAGTTAGGATAAAGATCTATCAGCTACGAATGAATCATTAACACGTTGAATGCCACGGTGTCGCCAATAAACGGAGCTTCCAAATTGCTTGAGAACAATTACAATAAGAAAATTGAAGTCTAATAAAAATATTTAATAGCATAAGTAGCTAGATGATAGTGTAATATTTGGCCTCTGTTATAAAAGAATAAGTATTACTATATAAAACCCTCGAAATTCTTGTAGTAGTGAACACGTTAAAAGAAGGGAAGTAAAAGTTTAATATTTTCTATCATTTAAATATAGGATTATTTTATTCAAGTGACTAGTATCTATTCTATGACAATAAAATTCGACGTGCCTTTATTTAAATGAATATGTATTACGCAGACGTACGATGAAGTGAAAAATGTGGAATGAAGAATTTAATACTACCGTAACTATAAGAATGCAGGCAACAAAGAGTAGTATTAATCAGGAATATATGTGCACAAAGTGATAGAGATATACTATAACTATAAGTAATTTTATTATATAATAACAATAACAGTAAGGATAATAATAAAATACGAATAGTGCAATAAAATATAAGAGAAGTGACACTACATTTTATTCGAATAATCCATTATAATTTTAACGTATAATTGAACAACATTATTCTTAACTGACTTTAAACCAATTTTTCCATGATATAACGTATGAAACAACTGTTGAGTTTTTTTCTAAATTTCATTTTCAATGTTCGACATGTATTTTATTATTATTATTTAGGATCCACTAAAGAAGGAAACGAATTCAAGCAAATGATAGCCTGCATTTTTCAGTAAATTATCCCCACCTTTCCACCCTTATCCAGACAAGGTTCGCATTGCAGACTCGACATTGCAAATATTCAGTGGTCATTATCATACAGAAGAACCTCTTTAATACGTTCATCGACAAATGGACAGTCAGATTTTTCATACAGACGAAATAATTTTCCTAACGAAACAGAAACATAAAAGTCGAAACTTTTTGCAATTGCTTTTTCAACCTTTTTGCATCTTATAGATTCAACAAAATCTGCTTCCTTCGATGTGTTGCGTCACCGAAGAGTGATATTAAATAAACTCTAGAGAAATCTATAGAGAACATTTATATTTCAAAACAACTTAGCTAACAGTCTGAATACTATAAATATGATAAGTACCATCGACTTATATTAAATCTGCATAGACAGACTACATTCATAGTCCATATATAATTTACGTAATTCGTGTAACGTAGTTGCCGATATTATGGAACGCGTTCAATAAGTAATATAACATATTTTTGTACAACAACGTAATCCAAGATAAGTGCAGAAGAAAAATATTGAACAAACACAAAACGGGTATATTATAATACCATATGTTTAATATTGCTAAACTGTTATCTGTTAATATCTGTCAAGTTTCCGTGAAACGTTGATTGTTTATGGTTCGAAGGTGATATCAGAAAGTCATTAACACGTAAAACACGTGTTCGCCAACTTGTCGTACACGTGTTTCCACGCACGCGTTTCTCACGCAATTGAACCACTAAGCGGCTTGAATAGACCAAATTTTCTTATTCATTTGTCGTTATTCTATAGACTACTGTACGCAAATAATAGGGTTCTATAAGTAATTAAATAATTATGAAAAATGATACCACACTATTCACCCTTAGCACTCCACACAGTTTTGTGATATGTCAGCAACTCCTACCAATTTTGATGGTAGTCCTACGGAACTTAATTCCCTTCTCAATACAAACTTTGTATATTTGGAAAATCTAATAATCTTAAGGTAGTTTTCTTAAAATTCATTAAAATATTTAGTAATTAATTCTAATGCCATTTGTCGTTGTGATGAAAGAGAACGTAATATTACACGAAACATTCAAAATTTTCGCGGGAATCAGTGTTAACAATATAGTTTTCGTTAAGGCGTAAGAGCGTATGTTTTTACTTAATCTACCTAATCTACCTAATCTACCTACCTAACCTACCTAACCTACCTGAACAATCTCAAACTCTATTATCTAAATAAAATTAGTGTTTATCTATATTATAAGCATTATTAGATGCTACGTCATAGTTAACGAAAATTAATTTATATTACTTACATAATGAAAATTTTCAAATGAATTAAAAATAACCATATCGGCTCATTATATTGTTTTTAGCCGACGATCCAAAGATTCATAATGGACTGTTGTATGAAATAATAAAATTAAATTAAAACTACTGGTACATTGGAGAGATGGTAGAATACAGATGGACGTACAAAACAGTGTAAAAAAGATAAGATAAGCATTTGTTTATTTATCTACGCGTGTAATATTGAATATAACTGTCCAAGCTACCCACAATCAATTTCTATTGCGTAAAGTGTATTTGTCTCTAATCAGAATACAAACATGAAACTACGCTTATAAAACTTTTGTATTCTCTGAAATCCATCACATGCTATGTAAAGAGAAAAAAGCATGGCAGGTAAAGTGTGCACATATGAGATACACAAGCGCCATGTTACTTCGCCTTGAGAAGAGCATCGAAGAAGATGCGGTACCGATATCACAGGAAAAACAGTGTTGTTTGCAATACAGCGATATCACGAACCTTATCATTCCGTGACATACGAGTTAGAACGCAGTAGATTTCTAGTGAACACTGGCCCAAAAACGGTACCAAAATTGCATGAGTTTGGTATTTACAATAAATACTTGCAAATAACAATGAACATTATTGTATCAGATTTTCTACATAAGTAAAATATAAAATGAGCAACAGAATTTCAAGCAAGAAATTATTCCAAATATTTTAACATTTCTGCACGAAAATTTCTTGACCAAGCAATTTTCATTTATATGAAAACCAAACGAAATAATTCAAGAATCGACTCTTTGAATAAATGTTCCAAGTTTTATTTCAGAATCTACTTATTATTTAAACAGATCTTTCATGCGGCATTTATTTTATTTCGAGAGGGAAATAATCCGGTACAATTACTTTGTTCGCAATTTTACGTATCAAGCACGGATGTCAACTTCATTTTTTAAATGAAATTATATAATTTCGTATATATTATTCTATACATTTCGATATTCTCTTTATATTATATAAATCCACTTATATCGAAAAATTATTAATTACCTACATAGATACTTTAATTTTAAATAGTGAAATTAATTGTACTGAATTATGTCTCCAGTGAAACATAAAAGCTTTCATTAATTCAAATGGAACGCCCTGTAAACGTAATAGTAAATAAATGGCACAACTTTAAATGAAGGTATTTAACTTTCATTAAACTTTGTTTTCGCAACTTCGATGCTTTAAGAGATATTCGTTATCTTGACCGTTTGACTGCGAAGCAGTGCAATCACGCTTCTCTTCTGTTGTGTCAAACGTACAAAGTATGACATTTGTTAGTATTATTTTTCTAGTCAATGTGTGTGATTGTGTGTGTATCAATTGTGAAAATGATTTTTATTAGTAACACTTATTTGTATTGGTAAAAGTTAGTTTTTATGCAATATATACGTAATTAATGTAAATTATTAATGTGTTTATTAATTTACTAAACAACATTATATTTAACATTTTTAGCATACATCTATGGAAATTCTTTAACTGTTGAAATGATTAAGCACAGACACACCGTATAACGCGGTTTTCTATAATAAAATCACCGTATTGTTCTATATCCACTATAGATACTCATACATTCTGAAATATATCTAAAACAATTACTAAACATTAAAATATTACTAATTAAGTATGCATGTCATACTATGCATACTTATTGTTAAGTATGTAGCAAAAATTTATATTGTTAAGTATTTATTTGTTTAAAGGTACAGTAAAATTGTAATGTTCTGTTTTAGTGAATTCATAAATAATTAAATCTGCCTGAAATATGACATTGAGCGTTTTTTCCAAAGGACATACTGTAATCTTGAGAACGAAGGCGATATTGATGGGCGAGTATATCATCTAAAACTGCAATAACTAGTAGACCGGCTAAAACTGGATCAGAAAGATTAACCTTAATATCAAAAGCTTACATTAAGAAACCGTACAGTGTAATTCTACGTGGTAAGAGGCGACGGATGATACAAATGTAATGATGCTTGTCCCAGTTTACATAATCTATATCTACTGTTTCAAAGATTTCGGTAAACACAACGAACCGACATGATTGTTACCTAATCAATTCTCAGCTGTTTCATACGGAATTGCAGTATTTTATACTTGACACTACATCATATTTATGACCTGCGTGTCCAAAAATGTAAATATAAAATTCATTTTCATGAAATTCAAACGTTTCACGATAAATATTAATTTTCCCCTTTACTTTCACTGACTTATTTCTTAACTCTGTTACAGAAATGCAGTTGTAATTTTCAAGATTTATGCGTTCACAATTACCTAGAATGTCTGAAAACCGAATGAATTTCACTGCCCTTAAAGAGTCGTGAATTTAAAAAAAGATTCGTTTAAAATGACAAGGTTCATAATAAATATACGAAAATACAAATGTCTAAAGTTTTAGATAATCGTGTCAACAAAAATATTGTAAAGACAATGAATCGACATGTATCTACTGCAGTAGTTGATTAGAAAATCAGGTAATATTAGGATTGTACTATCGTTTAATATAGTATCTATTATTTAGATAATTCAAAGATTGTATAATACATGTATACATAGAATTTACACGTCAAAATTACGGTTGGACTTCGTTTTCAGGGTCTAAACGGCTGAAAATGCTGCTTTGATCAAAGAGTGAACTTGCGACTCCATCGACCGCCATCTATTAACCGAAGGTGAAACTATAGATATCACTGTAATGTTCATAAATTTATTATTTCAACGGCTTTGAAAAATAAAGTTTGATATATCGCAACACAAATATGGACGCATGTCATTGCCATAATTCAAAGCGAAAGACATCGCAAACACGAGCACGCAGATTAAAATGTATGTTTGATCTGTAATCTTTTGAAGCACTATTCATTGTTAGCTCACCAAGGAAACGATTTTAAAGATGCGTAAAAATGAAACTTCGGTAAGGAACAGATTCTGCAAAATATTTCATTTATAAGTAAATATGTATCCTTCTCTTTAACAACTCTCCACGTTGCAGGGGTGTAAACAGAGCTTTTTGGGTGAAAAAAGTTTCTTGAAAATAACTTGGCACAGCAAAGAATGTTTTCAGGGAGAAGTTGTTCGTTTTTGAAATAGATAAAAGTTTAAGCTATCTTAATTGAATTGAAGCCATGAATTTCAAAACAGCATTAGTGAACCAATCACTTCGAGAAAATCAATCTTTCTTTTTATCTTCGTTCATTCGTTTCTTATCTATTTTGTTGATTCTTGTTGCAAGCATTGGCTACACATGCATCTTCATTAAGTGTACATTTTTAATATTATTAAATAGGTTTGAGTCAGTTGAAGACGGTTATATCAATAACTCATATGGATAACGTTGAAATATGGACATGCGCTGTTTTGGAACCCTCGATTTCGAATGTAGATCGAAGACTATTAGAATCATTATAATAATTATATGCGTCGGATTTCCTCGTGATACGTTTTCGTTTGCATTTTTATGGAACAATGTAAACACGCACCACATTTAACACATCTACACGCGGTGAATCGAAAGCTCGTAAGAGAAATCAATATATTGTATAAAAAGGAGTTTCCGAACGACGTATTTATAGATTAACAGACGCTACAACCTTGAGTGTATAAAAGTTGAGCTAAAAATACAGGACCAATCCCAAAAGCTTATTTACTAATGGAAAATCGGTTCGATGACGTGTAACGCTGTACGTACACATAAGTACCGCTTAAAAGAAACAAAGTAGCAATGTTTCTTCGTTTCAAACAGAGTTAAACCAGCTGAATTGCTCTTTCGTTTTCGACAATTTGTTATTGTCGATTAAAAAGAAAGAGGAATTCTTGCGCACTGTAAACGCTTTTCTGAAAATGGTATTGAGAAAATAATGAAAACATTTGCAACTTTCAATCCATGAAGAATGTGTACATATCTCTGTATTTTATAAAATACTATATAACTTTAGATACTAACTATAGACATGCGTATGTATTAAATTGTAAAAACAAATTCTGCAAAAGATGCATTCTGTCCAGTAACGATATACATGTACATATACTTTAAATTCTTTACACAAAGTTCTATTTTCATGAAACTATTTCTTAAAATGTTAAACAAGAGTATATGTATTCTATCAACTAAAAACTTCCACATAAAAACAAAGCAGAAAATACAGATATTTTTGTTAAAGCAAACATTTTCTTGTGTTTAAGAAATTCAGGCGTACCATAAGTCTATACAAATCTGTAGTGTAATGGTAAATAATTATCACTGAAAATATTAAAAATAAATAAGTATTTAGTAATGAATTTGGAATAATGTTAAAAATATGGGAATTGATGAAAAATGAAATTGGAATGAATGAAAATTACATTTAAACTGGATGAACAGTTATTGAAATATCTTTTTAATCAAACAAACTTAAAAAACGAAATATTATTTACAACGCAATGCAGTATGATAAAGCATTAATATACAATACAAATTTCATGATATTTAAGAGGATTATCGATAACTGCGATAATTTACGCAATTTACACGGTGATCCGTTTCCTTATCTTTTATTCCATCTTATACGTCTAAAACGTGTAATAAATTTATATATTAGTATGATTATTATCTTCGTGTCTGTAATGTGCACGTACTTATTAGATGCCCGAGAAATTTTCCGACGCAATTGATTCCATATCGAATACTTTCGCGGTTATATCTGTCGATCCCGGGAAAATTATCAAATAAATGATTACACCACGATCGTTCGATTACATTTATAGATCACTACTCACGTCTGTTTACATAGCTATATAACACGAAGAACCTACTCGCATTTCCTTGTTGTGTAAGATATTTTTAGCATAGCATCAAATATACATACTACCGTTGCGAAAAGGGCGCATCGCACAATGCAGATTAAAAGAATCAGTGTTTATAGTCGCGATAAGATGTCTCGCAGCTCACGTATCAACGCCAATAAAAAATTCTGATGCGATCTTGTCGCATAACACATACAAAATTTATCGAAGTTTATCTGTAGCTCGAACTACATGTAAATGTAAACATAAATTTTAAATCTGAATAATCGCATGTATCAAAGTTTAGTGTATTATATGTAATCACAGTCTCGCGCATTTATAACTTACGAAATTCTTCGAAATTAAAAATTCGAAGATTGTAATGAAATTTCATACATGATTATTATTTTCTTATCACTATCGTCATACTATTATATAATTTATATTACAAAAATATGAATTCCTTTGAATGTTCACAATCAGTATATGAACCTCTTATATTATGATTCGTTCCATTACTGAGAACGCTAGGATAATTTTGTCATTAATAATTTAGCAAAAAAAAGAACAAAGAGAAATTACCAATTCATCTATATCCACGTTTGCTTCAGAATACAACAATTAATAATAGAAAAATAGTATTTAATTTGAACCCAAAATAATTGGGTGACATTTAATTTTTGTAATTTCCGTTTGAGAACCTCTTCACGAGTCCGACTTGATATTGTATAGCAAAGGGTTGAATTTGTTAATAAGATACCAATATGTTGTCTAGGATTTACGCTAACAAAAAAATAAACTGTAAAATACAACGTAAAGTAGAACAACTGAAATAAGTAAAGCAATGAAATAAAATGGATGTTACTTTGTTGCACATCTAATAATTATATATATACATAATGTAATTCTATAGAATATTGCACTTTTTAGAAACTCTGCTTTTAACATTAGAATTACCAGTGGGTTGAAAATAACTCACTTCCAAATTTTTCTTCGCAATTGTAGGAATTATGAAGATGCTTTTGTAAGAAATATTTAAATAAATTCTTGTATTTGTACAGGTAGAATAATAAGAAACGCTTCAAACTTCAAGAAATGTATTTTCCCATTTTTATAATAAATTATAAATGTGTCACTTAAATTGCTACGTAGTTCTAGTGTGAAGAACATGCGACATGTAAAAGTACAGTGTAACCCCCACCCATCTTTGGCGACCTCATTAACATCTCGTTTCCATCCCCCCACCGTCTCGTGACGTTAGTCAACAGCAGGCAGGTTTTCGAGAAAGATGTATAATCATCAGTGAAGAAGACAGAACAAACCTAGACCATATATGCTTGTAGATTACGCTTCAGACAACTGCCTTGAAGCCAAGGTAACATCATGTACTTACGTGACGTCACATGTGGCAAAAATAATGGTGAAAATTCACTTTGACAGCTGCAAGAAGAAGGTTTTAAGGAAAATTGCGAACAATCTTATCGGACAATGCAGTACACACAAATAACTAACAAAAAGATCATTTTGCAAACGAAATACATTTATATTTTATTTTATTAGCCTAGGTTACTTCTGGGATATTTTTATTTTACATTTATAACTTTGAATAATGCAAAATGTATATTTACAATTTTGGAAATTACAATTTCGAAATATTGATTAAAATGGAAATATTTGTTGCCAATGACCAACACGGTAGCAAGTGCTTCAAACAGAATCCACCATTTTGGATTATTTTGTGACGTCACGCGTGGAATCATTCTATCGTTATCTTGGTTTCGCTTCGACTCGTGCATCCATATAGGTCGGGACCATAAATATACAGGGTGTCTCACCTAAATGGGAACATTGCAATATCTCCGTCGGTTTTCGATTCAGTAATAAATTTAAAAACATCAAAGCACATTAGTTGAGTGGGCAAATTTTATATGAAGGAGAAAATGTGTTTTTCAAAGTGAGGTTTACAAAATTTTAAGGTCATCGGTACCTGATAGAACTACTTTATCGTTAGTAATTTAGTGGCAAAAGAAAAAAGTTTCATTCTGTGTTTACGTTCACTTTAAACATGAAAAATTGATAATAGACCACTAATATTTCATTTATACGAAAAATAAATAAGTAACTTTTAGATTTGTCGAATTAGGTGGAAAATGTTCATCACGAGTCTGCCTTGATATTATAAGTGAAGGGGTTACATGGGACCTCATGTAGTTTAGAACGGAGATATTAAGGTGTTTCCATTCAGATGAGACACCCTATATACGATCTAATAAGGAACAAGCGACTGTCCAGTGCACAGTGGTGATGCAGTAAAACTCGTCTCTATTGTTTGAGTGTTCATACCCTCCCCCTTCTACTGTACGTGTTCAGCTTACAAGTCAAACCAGTATTATATACCGTGTGAAAATGACGAAGAGCCAAAATATACTATTATATAAATATATTTCGGTGCTGAAGTCGCACAGGTAATACAGTATATTATTAACACTAAAACTACCGAGCAGTTAAATCGACTTTTTGAGATTCCTTTATAGAAACTCCAGAAGTGCATCTATTAGAACTTTAACTGTTTTACAGTTGAGTTCGCTTATTGCTAAATCAATTTCTTTAATAATTTCTTAGAGAAACATCTGTTATCTTTTTAATAATCGCAAAAAGAGGAGATCAGGAATTTTGACCCGTCTGGTAGTTTTAGTGTTAATAACGAAGATCACGTAAGTACATACAAGGTTTGCTGAGTATCAAGTCCGACAGAATTTCGGTACTAAGTCTAGGATTCGAATGCGTTAAGCTGTTTGCAATTGGGCTACTTATACACTAAAATATGGAAGAGGAAGGGCGAGGATGACCAAGCCTTAGAGATGAACCCTGACCGTCGTGACCCAGGTTTCGGAGGTGGCTCTGTTGAAGATGCACGAAAATACTGAATTATGGGGACAACGCGGCGCGTTGCAGATAACGTGAATTGGTCATTAATTAGCATTAATCACATTGTTTATAGAGACATCGCAAATGTCAAGTCTCAATTATATGTCGCATATGGTACGCGTGATCTTAAACAGTATCGTATTAAACACTAACATGTGATGGTGCATAAGTTGCGTAGCGAGACCTTAGAGAGAATGTGTAGCGTTTAGTCTATGATAGACCATGAACCGAGTATGTGTGCAATAGAGAATGAGAGAAGGGTGGAAAGAAAGAGAAAGAGAGAAAGGGAAAGACAGAGAGAACGCGAGAAAGAAAGAGAAAGGGAGGAAGCGAGAAAGGGAAGCGCGAATTCGTTAGTGTAGCGTAGAACATCAATGTTCGTGCTTATGTCGCATCATCTCATTCGCTAGATATTATCTCCCTTTGTTTCCAACAAGATACTAACGAATCACCAAACAATGAAAGCGAAAACGAAATACATACTGCAGCTTTCATACTCCTGAGCAACTTGCTAACCCTCCCGAGTGAACTGAAATGATTCTTACTTAATAAATTTTCAGGTGTTTTATGTGAAATTGAGGAATTTTATGCTTGACATCACATTCTGCATATAAAATGCGTTTCCAAAAATGTACAAAATTAGTTTTCATCAAATTCAAACGTTGTACATTAAGTATTCATTTACCTCTTCAACTTATTTCATTGGGTTATTTCTTAACTCTATTACAGAAACGAAGTTTTAAGTTTAGAGATTTATGCATTCATAATTACCTATAATGACCGAAAACTGCGTGAGTTTTACTTCACTTGAAAAATCATTAATTTAAACAAAATACGTTTAAAATAGTAAGATCTATAACAAACATATGAAAATGTAATTGTCTAAAATTTGAGGTAAATATGTCAACATTCTGTTAAAAAATTTTTAACTAAGAAGCAAATATATTCATATGGCAAACCATTGTTAATTTACATTTATACTAACTAACGCTAACACTTGATCGAGTAGTAACCAACTGTAAACAAATATTTTCTTACATTTAAATTTCTATCAACAACTTGTCCTCATTATAATATCTTTCAATGCTAGAAAATCTTATTAATTTTTAATTGTTTTTATTCAATCAGTAATATTACGATGCAGAGCTCCACATATCTGGCATAACAATGATTAGACTGCAGATAATCCTTCAACAGTAATTCTTTCGAAATTAATTATTAATAACCACAACAAATTTAAAAGTTATATTTTTTATTATACATTTTATCTAGTTGTAAATTAGAAACTGGAATAAACCTTAATGTATTTAGAATGCATAAACTCTGCAGTACAACGATGAGTAACCTCTGAAAAGCGAACGTTTTTCACATCTGCATAAACGGCGATGCCTAGGTCCATTCAGATCAGTCTTCGTATATAATTACTTAAACGCATTTCCAAAGGTATTCTTCAGAGTCATATCAATTCCCCTATAGACTTAATTCCTTGCCTTATAATAACGTGTCAGTCTCATGGTGAGGGTTTTAAACAGAATTTAACAAATATTACTCGATTTTTTTTAATTCAAATTAAATATTATTCTTCTATTATAAATTATTATACTTTGGAGCAGACATGGGCATAGACAATGCCTAGAATTTTTCTCATTTCCAATGAATCATCAATAACAAAGCATTTGCATCCATCATAGTTGAGAAATAAATCATAGGGCAAGGGGTTAACACAAACAATGATTAACTTAAGTGAATCTATAGAAAATCGATTGAAGCTTCCAAAAATCTAGATCAAAATGGACTCGGGCACTATCGTTTGAGGAACAAGATAACAAATGGTTGAATGATCATCGTTAGGAACAGAAGAGAAAGTATTCGACTCACCCATTGACGATGGAAGAGGATTCATTATTGTTAGGTGGTCCCGACACGTGGACTTTAGGCACGTGGTAGACATCCACCTGTCCTTGACCATGACCATGACCCGGTTGCTGATGATGGCCGTGAGTCGACGAGTATTCATCGCTGTCGCTACTGTGCGGAGGTTCAGATCCTACACCGCCACGAGGTCTGAAACAACCAAACCTCCGACGTGTTACATCAAATCAGTAGTAACAATTCATTCTCGAAATTCTCTTTCGATTCGTTAACTTATTTGCTACCATCATCGTATACATGCATCTTATATTTTCCGTGAAGAAAATCGGATTAATTTGATGCCAATAACCGTGCACCAGGTTATATTGTATATATTTAACCCACGACTACGAAAGACTCATTTATGTTTCTTTTAAAAAACCGTGAAATTGCTTTAAACAATACTACTTTAATTTATATGTGTGAATCTATGTACTTTAATACATACGTGTATATAAATATGCATTTACAATTTGTAGGTATCAGTTTTAATACATCGAAGATACTCGAGTACCCGAATATAACAAAAATTTTGGTTCAGTAAACAGCACACAAAAATTACTTCATTAAAATTTGTTCATTTATTTAGTTACATCGATTTTTTGCAATTCTAACGTCGTTACCAGTTATCTTTATTCGAATCTCTTAGAACAATACTTATGCTGTAATATGGTCAAAACACAATTAACAGAAAAACTATAGAAGGAAAATCGCTGGTGTTATATTTAATTTACCCAAGCAGAAACGCTTATAATTTCTTCGTATAAAATGTGTTGTTAATGTAAAGGTTAAAGTTATAACGCACAATATAATGTATTTAATCAATTATATAGCCCTTCCTCATTATTTTTTCAAACAGTATATACAGAGAATACGTTGCATTTAATAAAATAATAATTATTAGAGTATTATAGAAATAAGTGACAGCACCGGATATGCTAATTAAACGGGGTGACTTTTTATATAGCGTTCTACATACGTAATTTCCTACGTCTCATTAACCGTGCTTCATCGGACAAAGAGATGTAATTAAACACGTGAATTCAATACGTCGATAATATCCTAAACTAAGTATTAATACGAATTTCACTGTGACTCGCAATGTAAATTCGTTACTGATAGAATATCACATAAAACTTATTCCCATTGTGTATTTCGAATATCATTGAATTTCCTGTGTCTTACGCAATCTATGAAACCTCCAAAAGCATTCCACAGATGTCGTAATACAGACGCTACAGTCTTTCATTTCTGCCTGCACATTTATTATGGCTAATTCGACTCCTATTTATAAGAGAAACAACGAAAACGACATGAAATCAGTACGTAATTTTAAACAAGGGGGACAATATAAATATGTTCGTAACTCATGCAAACTTCCACTTACATAAGATTTTATACTTCAAGAACACGTCGCTTCCAGAATACCATGAAAGATGTCAAGACACTAACGAAGGCATAACAGAATAAAATAGTAACGGAAATAGACAGTTCCATTTTCGTTCACAAGACGGGAGGTCGACCATACTTCTACGAAATAACAGACGAGCATGTGGAACATTACCAAACAGCATAATTTCTACGAGGAACTCAGAATCGGTAGACGACTGTATACAGCTTAAAAACCGCAGCTTAACCTCTGAAGAACGAATCCCAAGAATCATACACTCGGTCATAATTATCGGTTATATTAGCGAAATATGCGCTAACATGTACGACTGAGGCATGCAATCTGATAAAACATAATGAGAATTTCGTAAAAATTCATGAATTCTACTGAAGCGGGAACTAATCGTACAGGGGTTAAAAACGAGTTTGAAAAAGTCACACCTGCGATGAGTGTTATCGTAGCTAGCAGTCCAGTAGAGGGGCGCCACTGTCCCACGTTACAGATTCACAGTCGCATGCAAAAACCGACTCGGGAATCGGGTCTTCTCCCACGAACGGAAACTTCAATTATTACTAGAGTTCCTATATCCTCTTTCCGATTCTCATTCTACAATGCAAACACCACAGAGACTTCCCGATAACTTTCTCTCGGCAAATTAGGACAGCCCGGAAACTGGCACGGTCAATAGAATCGCAGCATCGTTCCTCTCGGAAGCTGCTCGGGAAGATCAATGAAATTTTCAACTGGCAAACACTCGAGTGCTTATCTTTGCAACGAATCCTCGCGGTAATAGCCACGCGAGAAGAACAATTGCCGATAATATTGCGTGCACTATTCAGGATTTCCGCGCGAGTCTTCCACCACGTAACACCGATTTCTCTATTTGAAACGCGGATCAAATATATCACAGGTGGCCAAGAGAGATTTCTCGGGTCAAATGTGACGCGTACGAGGAGGAACGGAGAACGTGAACGGAGTGTCCCACAGAGACGTTTGCATCGAAAATACGGCAATGCGGTGCGTGGTGGAACGCGGTGCAGTCCGCGCTCGTGCAAACTCCTCGCTACCGACGACACTTCCGCGGATGTACACCAATGGTACAACACCGTTAGATGTACGGCGAACGCACACTCAGCTGTTCAGCCGCGTCTGCGCCAGTCCTGCCAGCTATTGACCGAATACCACGCCGTTAGCTATACAGTGTGAGACACGAGGAACGGAACACCTAAATACATGTTCCTGTCAGGATCGGGATAAGAGAAAATGTCAAAGAGGATAGTTGCACCGTTTAAGGGAATGAGTACGATGATTCCGACAGGTCTGATTAACATTATCATCAAGGTTCTCCAAAGGTTATCTGGTTAGACAAATTTTTTCATAAGGTATTACATATTTTCAACTTCATATTATAACAGATAATGATGAGTTTAACATGGGATACTGTGACCTTGAAATTACCTTAAACCAAAATATTCAAAAATTACTCGAAACAATGACAACTCTAAAATGTGCAGTCATTTTATTCGAATTAACTGAAACGTTCGAATGGCGGACCATGCCTGCTTCACTCGTACTATCTGTGAAGACCATTTTAAAACCAATAGTGTCTTGTATCTCTGAAGCTGCCTTATCATAAGGTACTACTCAACCGAGTGAAAGATAAATACTGTCATTTAAAAAGACCATCCATGACCTGTACAAACCATTGAAAATAACATTCTACTTGTTCCTTTGAGAAATACAACTTCCTCCTTCAATTTTTTCTCCCATCTTGAACCCCAACAGACACATTTAGGTATTCCGCTTCTCAGGACTCACCCTATATAGGTGGCGGAACCTGAGAGCGCGAGAAGACGCACGTACATTACACAAGAACGTACGAACACATACCAATGTTCATGAGATTGCACCGCTGCACCCCAGCAGTCTACGAAACTCGACCGACAGAGGGACCAGAGGTGCCGGTCAGCTGATCGCGAATGTTGTTCCCGGGACTAGCCCAAATCACCCCCACCCACCTTCTCTGTCGCTCTTTCTCTTTCACTCGTTCTCAGTAGAACGAGATTGGTAAAACAGAGCAATACACGTGCGCAGTCTCGCGCCGATATATGTTTGTACAGTGGACGTTTAATTGCCCCATAGGATAGCGAAATGAAAATAACTTCCTCATTAGGAGACTACCGGTATATACCGACCGACAGTGGCGTACCTAATCGAATCAGTCACCTGTCCCTATATCAGTTCTCCCTTTGCGTTTGGAAACAGAAATATTCGGAACATTCGCTTGAGAAAGGAAAAGATGAAATGTTAACACTAGAACTACCGAGCATTTAATACCATTAATATGTAATTCCTATAAAAATTGTAACAATAGATTGTTTTCAGTTTCTTCAGGCACTCATTATAGTACTGAAATGAAACTATTTATTTTCAAAATCATTTCGAATATTCAATGCTTCGAAGATATCAATAATTGCTAAACAAAAAAATCGAAACCAGTCATTTTGACTGGTACGGTAGTTCTAGTGTTAATAGAAGTTTTCAGGAAGAATTTTTGAATGATATTTTTTCATTTGGATTCAAAGATTTTGGCAAAATTATTTCTTTCGTTTTGTTGAAAAATTCGTGTATGATTTATACGTAGATGTTTATGACATGAAATATTGAAGCGACTTATGATAGAAACAACTGGAACTCGCTAGTTTTTGGATGTACTTTCAGATACCTTTAAATTTTCATTGAAGCTAAGGCCCTAGAAGTTCAACCGTTTTAAATTAAGAAATTATTTTATGTTGAATATGTTATATACTATTTTCTTAGTAAACATGTGCACTACTAGAACGTCGCGTGCCAACTTACTACCAATTGATGTGACACAATAGCCAATGGGTCCGTTAAATGTTTATATTCCTAGGCAATCTGTAAACTGTGTTACTTAGTAGCACATTTTTCATCCGTACACTATACCACAGATGAAAACCATAGATTTGTAAAAGTGACTGTCCGGAATTTTGGAACACACATTCTTTTTTGTTAATCATGTCGTCATCTAAATGTAATATTTGAGTATGTATACTAAGATGTTACGCAGTCAAAGTAAACAGTCGAAAATAAACATTCGCACACATACGCACTGATTTCGTTAGTCACAGTACACACAGGTCAAGTTCACATACATTATACTAATACACCTATTTACAGACATTACTTTTCACTTCCTTTTCATCCTAAAATCCAGCCGTAAATACGACTCACTCATTAAAAAAAAAAATTTTTTCTTCCGCTAACCGTTACCATAATGTCGTCTGTTATTATTGTATGATGATTATTATATCAGAATGTTTAACTATAATTATTGAAAAAAATGTTACGCATCTGAACTTCAAATAAAATAAATAATATCCGAGCGAGTAAAAATTTAAAATTCAAAAGTGCAAAACAAAAAGAAGCAATAGAAGTGAGGCAGGTTTGCATGGAAAACGTACGTTCGTATCTGCTTTGATAAAAAACAGACAAAAATGTTCATGCAAAATAAAGACACAATTATATACAGAGAAATTTCTTTCGAGCAAGCTTGAATGTCTTAAATAAAACCAAAATCGCTAACAAAGAAAAAAAAAATAACTTCGAAACTGTTTCTAGAGGAAGCAAAGACATAAATTCGCTCATTTGAAGAAGATCTAGATCTAGATCTAGAAGTAGATTTATTTTACATGACTGTAAATTTACGAACTGTCAGTACATCAAGAACTTTAGAACCGTTTTTCGAAATCACATTTTCCAATTTAGCTATTAAAAAATTATTTATCAGATCGATTCTCTCCGCAGCTGAGTGATTCAAACAATTTTTTTAACTAACTATAAGTACATAAGTAACTTTTAGAGAATTATAATGTTTTGAATGTTTTCATTGACGTGTTAGTTACTAATATAACTCTTTAAAGTCAATATTGCAATTCCTTAAGTACTGAAGGTACTATTACACATTGATAATTGTAAAACACGTTCATAATTAATTTGTATTCGAACAGTCTTAGACTCTAATAGATAATAAATATATCAGTAAAAAGCTAAAAATAACATAAAAGAATAAATGTTCCAGTTATATCCTTTTTACACTAATGACACATTACTATATTTAAGAAAAATCAATTTCCTTGACAACCAAGTTTCTACCAGAATAAAGATAGTCTCACTATAAAAGATTATAAAATCCAGCCACAGTTTGAATGGTGAATTTTTTATCACGAAGCAAAAGTTCAAAAATCGTTCCAGATTTGATCCCCATAATGATAAAACAACATTCACTGGAATAGAAACAACAGCGAAGAACGTGTGGGAACTGATATGACATTAAACGACACGACACGACACGACACGAGCGTAACAAAAATCACGATGCATCGTATACAAAGTACACGTTATACATATGTCGACATTAATCACTATCTCGTGAAATTCACAGCACGGGAAAGAATTCGTCCATCCCGTGTATCTTATGACTAACAGTTAACACACCTCTCGGTCATGATAAACCGCACCGCCCAGTCTTGTTTCGAAACAGTATGCGCGATATTCTGATTCACTGGGAAACCGTTGACGACGATACTTCGCGGTGGAAATCGATATTCGTGTAGAGATACATCCTGAGGAATCCGGGATTCGTTTCGGAGCACACCACGACAGATCAGAAGGACTTACGTGGGCATCGACACGGCCGGGCAGCCGAGTTGCAGGAGATTCCTGGCGAGGTGTTCCGGCGCAGGTGCGTCAATCGCAGGTGCGGAGTGCCTGGCGGGCCGGACCGGCGTGTCATTGGAATTATCTGGTGTCCAATGCAAGTTGCTGGATAATTTCCCATCGTACGAGGATACATGCAATCGATTACGATCAACGGTGGAAGACTTAGGGATCCTTAAAGACCCGCTGCGACGGATCTGCGTGCCCAATTCGCTGTCTGAAAGTGAATAATAAACAGTCATTCTGTGGTTACATTGATTAACCCACTTGCATCCGAGCTATGATTGAAAGATTTGCTGCGAGAGAGATAGCTTCGGTTTCAGGTTATTTTAGTAAACCAAGAGAATTCAATTAGTACTGCTTCAAATTTGTTGAAACTTTATGATCGACTAATATTTCTGTTAACAAAGTTTTATTGTGAACAAGGGATACACGTGTTTCTTGCTGTCCCGATAAATAGAATTTCAATATCGGAGTTGCTTCCTTTTTGCCTCGAAGTAGGAGAAATATAGTAAATGTTATATTACCTGAACAAACGAAATTTAAAATGAGAGTATATTGTATTCTAACGTTAAAATTTAATGTTAAAATGAAGTTTATTGTAACGTTACGAATTACAGTGTTTTAATTTAATTTATAGCGTGAAATCATTTGGAATAAAAATAAATAAATAATAATAATAAATATAAACCATATAATTATATAATATAAATGTAATATTAATGTATATAGTGTATTAATAATATTAAATTCTGAGTCTGAAGCTAATTTTTTTCATACCACATGAAATATTACATTTTTAACACTAACTGTACCGAGAGAACTGGTCAACTGACCGAATTTAAAATCCTAGGTTCTTTTTATTATAGGTACTTTTAATATCAATTCCTATATTGTCTGATTACTCAATTTTTCAGTTCTTGCCTTTCCTTTTGTTTCTGTTTTTACTACAAAACATTTATCACCTAACTTGTTCATCTTTATTTTATAGCCAGTATATTTGACTGGTTATGACAGGAGGCAGTAATTACATGTTTAATAAAAATTGTGTAAACAGTGGAGCTGTCTCCTTCTTGCATCTGACCCTTTAATTATCCGACTAGTCCCGTATTACCAAGATCGGAACATGCATGACCGATTACAGATTCGTAGATACATAATATTCCGAATGATTTATAATTTATTCTGGTTAGAATATTTATTATTCTCCTTTGCTACTCGATAATTATAGAACTCAGAAGTGTGCTACATATTTATTAAATTCAGATTAATAGAAATCGCAGCCTGCGGATTATTCCGCGTTCGACGATACAGAGCACTCTGTCATTGCGGATTATTACGTTTGCGGATGTAAATGGATCAATCCTTGAATATTACAATTACTCTACACTACTGAATAGCTATTATATTAAATTGTTAAACTACCCTTGAACAGTCACATTAATCAATTAAATAAGATAAATTTTTAAAATAACTTGAACGCATAAATATATACCTTATGCGTTAAACTGATTCATAAGTTATTAATTTTTCATCAAACAGAAATACATTGGAATAATGCAATTATCACATGATAACCAAGGCAAAACATCTAAGAATGTATTAAAATTTTGAACTTCAGCCAGCTGCACAGATAAAAAAGGAAGAGGCAAAAACTAGATGCAAAATACTAAACACCAAACCAGGGATAACTGCTATGCATACCTAAAGCCTTAATCATTAGGATTGCATAAACAAGTCGAATGTTTAAATATAAAATTAATAAATATGTTATAACGTGTATATTTTATAAAGCACGCCTATAAAAACATGACAATCATTGCAAAATACAGGCTGTTTCCGTGAATTAAAAAGGAGGGAATCCCAAGACTTCATCACGAATGACGCATAAGAATTTTGTGTGCAGAAATTCCAATGAGAAAGCAACCTTATTCACGTCTATTGCCAAGAAACTGTTGATTAACCTTGAAGCAAGTGTATACTGTAGCTGTTTATTTACAGAGATGAAATTTTTAATACAAAATGTTTATTTTACATATTACGTATTGTCTCATTACGAACAGCCAGAAACCAAATTCTCTGCCAAAGAACCAACAACAATCAGAAAGATTTATTTATGTACTACCATCTGTTTGAAATTCAATTGATTAAAAATGATTAACAAATTCATGACAGATATTCGTAGAGGCATAGATACATTGAGTACGAAGAGTGAATTATTCAATTGTTAAATACCATAGTTCTTCTCCCTATTGTCATAGTAACCAGATACAGAAAAATGTTATAGATAAGAAGTTAATATTCAAAGAGCAACTGAATATTTAGAATCGTATATTTATTGCAAGTACAACGATGAACGAATAGCTTATTCGTTAATAACATTACTTTTTTAATGGAAATATATAATGCATATTTTTAAAAATACAATACGATTAGTTATGAAGCGATACACATGTTACTGGCGTATTTTAAATCACTAATTGAGAAATAATGTGTTCCTCTGAAAACTACATATGCATCATTTTTTATTCATTTCCACTTCGCAAATAATCATTATCGTTAGAAGCAATTCAAATTAAGTATTCTATATTTCACAAAATTTGCGTGTCATGTTTCGTCCGTAACACATTTATACATTACTCCCATAAACTAAATTAAATACGTTAAACTCTGTTATTGTATACTAGTATTATCATTATTATCATCAGCATTACGATTGTTATTAATCATTATAATGAGTACGATCTATGGTCACGAGTTATCGTTACAGCGAGATTACATGAAATGTAATGCTAACGATTTATTTCGACAAAATATTTTACGACATATTTAGAAAATATATAGATGAAATATGTCCAATGCACAAAGATATATACTTTCTAAAAATTCCATGACCAAAAAAGTCGTCATGCCCATTGGAGTTGTCTTCCTGGCATGACGAATTATTTTGTCATACCTGGTTCACAGATTAACACTAGATCTACCGAGCCTTTAATACGATTGACATGTAAATTTTATAAAAATTGTAACAATAGATTATTTTCAGTTCCTTCAGGCTTTCATTACAGTATTCAAGTGAAACTATTTATTTTCAAAATCATTTCGAACATTCAATGCTTCTAAGATATCAATAATTGCGAAACAAAGAAACCAGAACCAGTCATTCTGACAGGTACGGTAGTTCTGGTGTTAATACTGGTGGTTTACTTTATAGCTGGATATTCAAATAATTTTAATGTCTCGTTACCTGAGTAATGCCCGCGTTCCGACATGACTCCGAACGAGTTGTTTTCTCCCTCAATGCTAATGGGCGACAAATGTGACAAACAGCCCCGGGCGGTCGGCACACGAGAGAGAGTTAACGCGAACGGAGAGTTTGTTGAATGAATGTTGAGCGACTGATGTTTAAGAAACAGGTGTGGGTTAGGTAATGTTAAGGTAGGCGCGACTGTAACCTATTCTTGGCGACGGAACTTTAATTCGCTTAAAACCTTCTTGCATCACGTCAACCTTAGCATTAGACCACTATGTCTTCAGTATCTCGAGAGTTACGTGATAGTATTAAAAAACATGGTCTGTAATCAAATCAATGAAGTTACACCGCGTTAAATTCAAAGTTTTCTATGAAAAAGAATTATTCCAAGATACTAATGTTCCGAAAACGGTGGGGATTACCTTTATGTAACACGGTCGTTAGGTTCTTAAAAACAGTCGTGTTATACGAAACAATTAGTTTAGAGGCAGAGCCAGTTTTTAAAAATTGAAAACATTATATATACACATTCACTGTGTATATAACTATATATATATATATATATATATATTCATTTGATAACTAAGAGAAATATGGTTATTAATCCTTTGCAATAGGAAGCTTTTTTAGCAATACCTAACAGCAACTCGGAGCAAGTTTTGCAACAGAAATTGAAATAAAAGTCATTGTGCTGCTGTGGAATTTTATAGAGATTAATAAATAAAATATTCCGTGTTTTTGTTTATGTGTTTCATGTGATTACCTTATAGTATAAAAGAAAAGAAATTAACGAATAATTTCAAAGTGCCAGTTAATATGATCATCGCAAGTTAAATGATCATCGCATTGGCGACATTTAAGCGCAAAGGGTTAAAACAACAATTGATCGAAAGTATTATATATTACTCCCCAATTCTCGCACAATGTTATAGGGATGCTGTGTTATACGAGGTTTACTAAGGCATAATAGAATGTTACAGATGATATTCGTGCAACTTCGCTGGTGTATTTACTTAGTAGGAACAGTAATTTAAAAAAAACGCAAAAACTATTAACTCTTTGGCATACAATGACGAAGGAGATTCGCTTATGTTGTTCATCGCTCATGAATCAAAGCAAAAAACTATTTTGCTATTATCAATGTATTATAATCAATTATCAATGTATGACATTACTTACCGTATCATACAAACGTAAATGATATTAGAATTAGCAATGATTTGGTGTTATAGGTCTTAAGTTACATTATTATTTAGCTACCTACGTAACTAAATATTTCGATACGACATCAGTTTTCTTCTTGTAATTCTTTTCAAGTAATTTAGACGCTGCGGTCGTCGGTGACCACGTGTTAACTTGATTTTTTTTGAAAATGGACTTAACACTAAATGTACCAACAGTTTGTATATACAATGAGTCACAAGAGTATTCGTGCCGAATTTAAACGATTGATATTTGTTCACAATGTAATGTTCAAAGTTCTTATCAACAGGAATGTGATACAAAAACTTACGTATACTTTATTACAAAGATACATTTTTCTTAATGGAAAGAAAAACGAAAGGAAAGCCAAAAATTGAGAAATGGATTAGTCGGAGCATTTAGGAATTGATATAAATTTAAATGAACAAAAGAAAACGCAGAATTTTAGATCAAATTTTAAAACCGGTTATTTGATGGGTCGCGTTACGTTTAGTGTTAAGCTGCTTTCAAAATAAACCATTTATATGTTGATATAACCTTTATTTTCGAGATGTAGCATACAGCCGAGTTGTTGTCTTCCCACATTTCTTTCGATAAGTTGAATTCTTCGATCAAATGTTTATGAACAATATTCGATAGATCATTTACGATATCACAAACACTGTACAATACTCTGTGTCATGCAAAGATACCCTTGGAATGTTTTTAAATTAATTAAGTTGTATTAATCGTAATAGAAAATCAATGATGAATCAGCAATC